GCTCGAGCGCGCGATCTACGACCTGGAGCTTCGCCGGGAGGTCTGGGAGATCGAGAACCACCTCGGCGGGGAGCTGCAGGAGATGATCGCGATCTACAAAACCCAGGGCCTGACGGAGGAGGAGGCCCTCGTCGTCACGCGGATCTTCGCCAAGGACAAGACCCTCTTCGCGAACCTGATGATGGTCGAGGAGCTGGGGTACTCCCGCCTGACCCCGCCGAGGCTGTCCGAGGCGGCCGTCAACGTCGGGGTCCCGACCGTTCTCGGCTTCGTCGCCGGGGTGTTCATCCCGATCAGTTCGTTGTTTCTTCAGCGCTCGCTACGCCGGCCCGGCGGAGGGGCGGCGGCGGGGGATTTTGGCGATTCCCGGGCCCATCGCCTGACGTCGTTGCTCCCACGCCCGCTCGTTCGGTTTTTGGGGGAGCTCACCTTGGCGGCGTGTTGTGCAATCCTGGGCGCCCTCAACACGGAGGTCTTTTTCGGGGCCTACTCCCACTTCAAGTTGCGCATGAAGCTCATCGCGATGAGCCTGGCGGGCGCGGGAAGCGTCTACGCCTTGAGTTTTATCACTACCAAATGCTTTTGACAGAATCGCATCGATAAAAGGGCTTCGGGTGACCACTCTTTCACTCCTGTTTAGTCATTCTAGGAGTTCAAATCCAAACTAACAATCAGTATTCAGGAAAAAAAACGTTAAAGGGATACAATTGATGTTTAAAAAAAGAAAACAAGACTATGAAATAAAAATATATAATGACATTTTTTAGTTGTTAAAACTGAGTGCAAACTTTCTTTATTGCAACATTTTGATGAATACCCGCGCAAAAAGGACCACTATGTAGTTGTGGCTTTCGATTTGTCTATCTTTATCGGTATCGATGTCTGCATGTCTAAACAACGGTTTTAAGCTATTAAATTCATATAATTCATATTCTATCGTGTGTGTTTATTTTTGATAAATATATCATATTATCATTGCCGATTTATTCAGATTCTGCCTCCAGATTTGGTATGGTTTAACGGATTAGGTGTCATTTTTTCTTTTATGGCAACATCGTAGAATAGTTGAACACTGAAAGGCGCACAATGAAGGAATTAACCTTTAAAAGCTATTTATTTCAGTATCAGCTTTGATTTCGCAGTGATTATTTCTATTATTTTGTTTTCTTCATTGAAATCAACTGAAAATATTTTATTCGAAATTAAGCGCATATGCATATAGATCAACTTTTATGCTTCTCTCTATATAATGGGTTATATCTACTATTATTTTCTTTTCTTTCTTTTCTTTTTGTTGGGGTAGAGATCGGTTTATTCATCCAGCGTGTCACCTTTATTCCTAATTTTATTCCCCTTTTCACCCTCTACTTTTTTTTATTTATCTGGACTTCACACCACCCTTATAGAAGGTTATACCTGTCCTAGAACCCCAAATTTGCAAACCACAATTATTGACCCACCACGGATCACCTGAAAAAGAACATCCCTTGTGGATTCATCACCTCTATCGGCCTTTGATCCTACTGCGGTGGCGGTTTCTCCTGTTTTGCCTGTAGTACCCCAATTAATAAAGCCATCTTTGAAATACCAAATGGAGTTTGTTCGGGGGAATTAACAAGGAAGATTGCCCTTCCCCATTAGCTCGTTTTTTCCTTTTTCATGGTCTTTTCAATTCCAAAATGGAAGTCTTCCCAGGAAAGCCAGGACACTGGGCGGCCTATTCCCGATCCAAGAAGTGGAGGGAAGCCATGACCTGCTAATTGTTGGGGGGACTTTGGATTACGCCAAACGGGGGGGTCGGATGACATTCAGGGGGAGGAGGGAAAAAACTACTCAAACGTGTTAGGACTTCACAATTCGAGGTTTCCAGGTCCGTGGCTTTATTATTATTATTTTTTACACGACTGTGGTCCCTAAAAAAGGAAACTTTTAAAACTTTTTATTGTTTCATTTTGTGGTACTGTATGTTCACCTTTTTTTTAAAATTATATCTTCTGTACAGGGTTTGGATTGCTATGTTTAGAACTTTTTGATACCAAACTGAAATTACCCAATACACTATATACACCGAATAATTATATGCGTATCCTATTTGTTTTGAGCGATATCGAAAAACGGATGCGCGACGTTTACATAAAACTGTGATAAGAACGACCAGCGCTAAGAGGGCATTGAGGGCCACGGGAACGTGTCTACTTTTCGTTTTACCGCATGTTATGAGAAAGAGGAATGACATATCTTTCCGATTCTCGGCGTATGTCAAAGAATATATTTATTGGGTTATGGTACATTGCGATACTCATCACGGTAGGGGTGGCAACCCGCATACGACCTGTCAAAGACCCACTCCGATCTGGGGAAAAATGGGAGAGAAGGTCGGGGTAATGTACTTTTTCGATTTCCCAGTGGATCTCAACGTTTCTTCCATATTTCTTGAACCTTTTATGAAGTATCTACAGCAATCACACCCCACACCAAGCGCCGTAAAACGCCCCCGACGCGTCTCGCGATCCCCTGGTCCGGGCGGTCATAATGTTTCCCCCGGGGCATGCGCCCCTAGCCGCCGAGTGGACCGACGAGAAGAACGCGAGCGTCGACTGGGCGAGTATCGACGAGGTCGCCGCCAACGGCTTCACCTTTTTGCAGATCCTCTCGCTTCACCCCCGCCTGGCGGCCTTTTTTGACCGCCATCCGGCGGAAAAGGAGGCGTTGAAGGCGATTTTCCTCTCCGCGGAGCGCCGGCGCGAGCAGGCCGCGGCGCTGGAAACTTGGAACGCGCGCCGGTTGTTGTCCTTGCGGAGCGCGCGGTGGTGCCGGCATTGCGGCTACGAGGGCCATACGCGTTCGCGCTGCCCGCGCCGATTCCCCCAGGCCGGCCCCGAAGACGAAGACGAAAGCCCCGAGGGCGATGGGGCGGGGGCGGGGGAGGACTGGTTTCCTTTGCCGCCCGCGGGGCCGGGGGTGAAGGTGATGGAAAAGTACCGCGCGCACCAGCAGCGCCTGGCGCGGCTGAAACTCCTGGGCGAGAAGAAGCGCCAGGAGGGTAAGCCCGGGAAGGGGGAGGCGTCCTTCCTCGGCGGGAATCGCCCGCGGAATGGGAATACCCCTACTAATACTACTAATACTAATCTTAATTATAACGGATCCAGCCCCCGACGGCCGAACAGCCCCTACGCCAAGGCCAAGCCCACCGAGGCCTCGTTATTTCTGGAGGAGCGTCGGCATGGGGTGGTCAGCCGGGTGGATGTGGAGAACGGGATTGGCTTTTTGCGCATGCCGGACTCCGGCGAGGCCAAGTTCTTCCTGGACAACACCGGCTACGGCGTCAAGGGCGTCTCCGTCGGGGATGCGGTCTACTTCAAGGTCGACGACTCGCGCGGCTTCCCCATCGCGAGCGACGTCCACCCCGAGAAGCCCGGGATCACGGAGGCCGACGTCGTGCAGTTTATCGCGCGCTGCAAAACCCACAAGCAGCCCATGGTCCTCCTCACGATGCTCTTGATGTATCGCCACGAGTGGGGGGAGGTGCTGGGGTGGATTCGCGCTTTCGCAGATCGCGAGGCCTTCGCCGATGCCGTGCACACCTTGGTGGAGCTGACCACGTTTATTGAAAACCGGGAGCCGATCCATCTGAACATGTTGGAGACCTTTTTATCCCTCACCGTCGGGGATCCCCACGACCACGGCGTGGCGGCCACGACGGCCGTCCTGCCGCCTTCCCAGCCCGAGACGGCGGAGACCAACGCGGACGCAACGAAGCCCTTTTTCCTCGATATGCTGCAGGAGGCCCTCGAGTGGGACGCGGCGGCCACGCCGAGCGGCGGGCCCGAGGCCGCGGATTCGATTTCCCCCCTTTCCGGCGCCGACGCCCATCCACCCATCGCCTCCCACCGGCCTGACAAGGACGCGAATGCCGCGGAGACGCGCCGGCTGCGGTGCTCGGAGCGGTGGATCGAGGTCGTGAATTACGTGATTCTTCTACGCCAATACACCCACGTCGCCGCGGCGCGCGTGGGGCGCGTCGAGGCGATGTTATTTCGGCTTCTCGAGGGCCGCATGGCGGCCGCCCCGCGGCCGGCGAATTACGCCCAGCTGGCGAATTCCTGCCAGCGCCTCCGCGCCTCCACCTCGGCGGATCGCGCAGCCGCGATGTTCATCCCCGCCGCGCGGGAGTTCGCCCTGCCGCCGCCGCTCCCGGGCTCGCCCTTCTCCCCCGCGAACCTCCCGATCAACGGGGCGACGTCGTACGCCGGGCAGGAGGAGTTTATCCGCGCCCAGTGCCGATTATTGCGGGCGGACACCTTCGAGGCCACCGCCCGTTTGCTCCCCGCGGTCTGCGCCGACCTGCCGGGCTACCACCCGAGCGACGAGACGAAGTCCGACGTCGCCCACGCCCGGCTTTTCGGGCAGGTTCGTTTTTTGGCCCGGGTCGTCGCCGAGGATCGCGATTTCGCCCATCCCGACGGCTACATCCTAGAAGTTCAGCCCATAGGGGGGGGCGCGGGGGATTTTTCGGCCCATTTGCACCCCGGCGCGACGGTTTGTATCACCACAGGCCTCCACCCCGAGCGGCTGGAGGAGGGGGAGATGTTCTGGGGCGTCGTCTCCTCCGGGAATGCGAAATTGCGCGAGTTGGGTGCCATCGTCGTCGCGCCGTGCGAGTTCGGCGCCTCGTTTGCCGGGCTCCAGGCCAACCTGCGGCGAAACGAGCACGCGGGCCGCGCGGACCGCTCCCTCCTTCTGGAGACCCCGATCTTCATGTCGGGCTATCTGAGTATTATGAAGGCCCTGCGCGCCTTTCTCGGGCCGCTGGCCATTCCGCTGCCGATGGGCGGGCTGATTATCCCGCGTCCGGCCCCCGCCGCGGCCGTCGGGAGCGCGCGGGCGGGGGGGCTTTTACCCCACATCCCCCTGCACTGCGGCTACGCCTTTGAGGAGATCGTCGGGGATATCCGCGGCCGCGCGGTGCTGGATGCGGGGCAGGACGCCCTGATGCGGGAGCTGCCCTACGCCGAGGTGCTGCTCGTCCAAGGCCCCCCCGGGACGGGCAAGTCCTTCATCGGCTGCCGAGTCGTGGAGGCCTATGTGCGGTATAAACAACTCCTGGCCTCGGGGGATATCCTCCAGCGGGTGGACGCGGATCTCCTCAGCTCCACCCGCCTGGACGCACTTCTGCCCGTGATGGGGCCGATTGTGGTGATCACCTACAAAAACCACGCCCTGGACGAGTTTTTGGTGGATTTGTTGAATATCGGGCTCTGGGATGAGGGCCGGCCCCAGGTCGGCCAGCAGTTGGCCGCGGCCGCGGCGAGGGCCGGCCCTCGGGGCGCCTTCGCCAGGGCCAGTCTCATCGGGAGCCCCGATGTCTTCCCCGGTGGCCGGCGATTGGTCCGGATTGGGGGCCGCTCCAAAGAGCCGCGGCTGGACCCGCACAACTTCGGCGCCCTTCTCCATTCGATGACGGATAAGTACCTGATCAAGAACCTCCGAGAGCGCATCGCCGTCCTTCAGCAGCGCATCGAGCGGCTCACGAAGGAGATTCACTACCTGGAGAAAGGAAAGGTCCCCAAGACGTACTTCCTGCGCTCGTTGACGGCGGAGCAGCAGCAGCACATCACCTTCGAGGAGCGCGAGGAGTGGTTGCGAGGGGAGCGCTACGTCGGGGAGCCCCTTCACCGGCCCCCTAAGGTGGACCCGAGGGCCTACCTCGAGCGGCTTCGAACCGACTTAGGCGCCGCCCTGGAGTCGGCGGGGGAGCCGAAAAACACCCCGCGCCCGGGGGCGGCCGCCCGATCCCGCCCCCCTCTCAGGCCCCGCGGTGGGACTGCAGAAGCCCGCCGACGCGGAGGCCGAGGACGTCTCGCTCAGCGTCTTCCAGGAGATGAAGCGCGAGGACGAGAGCCGCAACCTCAACCCGGCCCTGGACAGCATCTACCTCTCCCGCGAGGCGATCCACCTGGCGCAGAACCCCCCGGCCTACCCGGCGGAAGTCCCGGCGGCCTTCGCGTCCCTTTGGAGTTTAGCCCCGGCGGCGCGGCATTCCTACTACGCCTACCTCATCCAGCGCATGATCGCGGCGAAGGCGAAAACGTGTTTGGCCCTCATGCAGACGCTCTTTCACGTGGTGCAGATCCGCAATCACGCGATCGACGAGGCCAAGCTGAGCCTGCTGCGCGGGGCGGATGTGGTGGGGGTCACCACCACGGGCTGCGCGATGAACCAAAACCTCCTTCGCTCGCTTCGCCCGAGCATTTTGGTCGTGGAGGAGGCCGCGGAGGTGCTGGAGATGCAGCTCCTGGCCTGCATGACGGATTCCCTCAAGCAGATCGTGCTGATCGGCGACCATTACCAGCTCCAGCCAAAAGTGGAGACCTTCGTGTACGAGAAGGTCAACCGGCTGAACCTGTCGTTGTTTGAGCGATTGGCGGCCCATATTCGGCCCATCCGGCTGACGGAGCAGCGCCGGATGCACCCCACGATCGCGGCGCTGATTCGCCCCTTCTACGACGCCCAACCCCTCCTTGACCACCCGTCGGTGGTGGACCGGGCGTTTGTGATGGCGAGCGGGGCGCGGCGGCGGGGCGCGCCGCCCGGGCTCGCCGAGCGGGTCTTCTTCTGGCGCCACGCCCACCCCGAGGAGGCGGCCCCGGGCAGCCGGAGCAAAATCAACACCCGCGAGGTCCGCATGGTCCAGCAGCTCGTCCGGCTGCTCGTGGGGGAGGGCGCCCGGCAGGCCGCCATCACCGTCCTTACGCCGTATTTGGGCCAATCCCGCGTCCTGCGCAGCGTCCTGCGGCTCTCCGCCTTCCCCGACGTCCGGGTGAGCACCGTGGATCTCTTCCAGGGCGACGAGAACGATATTATCCTCCTGTCCATGACGCGAACGGAGCGGCTAACAGAGTTTATTCGGATGCGGAATCGCCTCGTCGTGTCCTGCTCGCGCGCGCGGTTTGCGATGGTGATCATCGGCAACGACGCGCTACTGCGGCAGTGCGAGCACTGGGCCCAGGTCCTGGACGCCCTGGAGGCGACGAAGTGCGTGGGAAGTCGGCTGCCCGTCCGCTATCAGTCGAGGCCGGACCAGATCGAGTGGCTGGAGGCCGCGGGGACGGTGTCCTCCGAGAATCTCACAAAGGAGATCGAGGCAAGCCTGGCTTCGGTGGCTCCGTCGGAGCGCGGAAGGAGCGGCCCGTGAGGTCGAAACCGCATCAATTCGGAGGGGCCAGGGGTCGAATCAAGGCCGATGCGACTCACAAGTGGTGATTCAGATTGTGATCGGCTTTCCAAACGCTGAGGGATTGCCTTTGGCTTCTATTTTTTGACATCCCAAGCGCGGTGATCACACTCAATTAGTTTGATTAAAGCGGGATCGAAATGTCAATGCACTTATACACACAAATATCTAACTAAAATTTAGCATTGTAAGACATTTGATGCATGTAGCAATATAATCTCCTTTCATATATATTTATATATATATAAATATGGTCCCATGGTGTTGTCTTGTAAACTATTTGTTATAATTATTGTGTGGCGACACAAGCGCATATTTTTCGAGGGGGAAACGAAAATGACCATCGAGAACGCACCACACGCCGCCTTCGCTCGATTGATCTTCCTGGGTAATATTCCAAACCACCCCTTCCTCTTTTTTGTTTGTTTTTTACATCGAACCGTAAAGCCTATTGAACCGAAACCCAAAGCTAAGTCTGCAGGTGGCAATGACGGAGGTGAATGTACTGCATTTACTCGATGTGGCCTACAACGGCGCAAAAGAGGAGCGCACCCAGGCCACCTCGCAGCTCAAGGAGCTTTTTCAAAGTGATTCGGCCCCGCATTACCTCCTGATGCTCCTGTCCTCGGCGGTCAACCCCAACCTGCCGGCGACCCAAAGCCTCTCCGCGCTTCTGTACGTCAAGAATTGCCTGATTTTTACCACCCCCGAGGCGGTTCTTCTGCAAGCCCCGGAGGTGCTCCAAAACATCGAACGCGCCTTATTCAACGGCGTCTTTCAGGTGCCCGCCACGCACCGGCGGGTGATTTGCGAATGCGCGGCCTCGCTTATTAGTGGGTTTGAATGGAACTATCTCGAGGAGCTTTTGCCGATGGTCGAGCAACTTTCGCAGTGTGGCGGCCCGGCGGAGGGGGGGGCCCGATTCGATTCCGCCTCCTCCGAGCGGGCGATTGCGATGTTGGAGATGCTCTACACCTACACGAAACGTTTCAAGTCCCCCAACATAGAGCCCATGGCCCTCAAATTAGAGGTTTGCTCTGCGCTCATGAAGCCTTTGTTTGTGTTTCTGGATTGCCATAATTTTCAAATTTCCAAAATGGTTTTAAAGATCGCGGAAGCTGTGATTGAGACCGCACTGCAGCAAAAGCATACCAAGGTCATCCCCGCCGATTCCTTTGACTTGTGGTTTGCCCAGATGGTGGCGTTCTTGGAGAAAAGCCACCACGAGGCCTCCACGGCGGGTGGTAAAACTTACGAGGCCTACGTCAAATGCGTGAAGCGGATTGGCGTGATCACCTTCAGCGTGATGAACAACGCGACGCGGGCCAAAAAGCCCGCCCCCGTGGCCGCGCACTTTCTGACGGCGCATGCGGGGACTTTTTTCGGGCTCTGGCAGACGTGGCTTCGGTTTTGCCTCCACTCCCCCGACCGCGCGGCCCACCGGAAGAGCGAGGTCTTTGCCATCCGCTACCTCAAGCTGAGCACCCTGGACGAGGCGCTTTACACAGGGGCCTTCCGCCCGGCCGCGATGGCGATTATCGAGCACCTGCTCTTCCCTTATTTATGCTTCGGCGAGGCCGACGCGGCGGCCTTCGCCGACGACGCCGACCTCACCGACTTCGCGCAGTACCTGCTCGACGAGGGGCCCGGGGGCGGGGAGTTCACCCCCCGCCAGGCCGCCTCCGGCGCGATCCTCGCGATGGTCGGGGGGCGGCGAAAGTACCACGACGCCCCGGCGCTTTTGGGGGCGCTTTTTGGGGTTCTTTCCGGCGGCCTCGCGCTGGGGCCGGCCGCGG